CTGGGGAATTCTGGGAGTTGAAGTCCACACGTCTTAAAGCTGCTGAGGTTGAGAAACACTGGTCTAAGGTGATCCCCTTGAGAAGAAAGATGTCTGCCGGACATGATGTTAAAAAAGTCTAAATTGGCAGCCTGTCCTGCAAACAGGAAGGCCTAGTGAGTGATTAAGTCAAAAATTGCCCCCAGGTCAGTATCTTGTTCATCTCTGGTGCAAAGGACCCCATGACCTAGTCCTCCAAGAACCATGAAGGTAACTTTTGCCTCTGGTCTTCTAACATGGGATACAGAAGTTATCATGAAATGGTTTCCTTCATCAGTTTTTGAGATGGTTCAGAATGTTGTCTCACCACCATCCCCCTTCCTTCTTGGCACAGGAATTACCGAAATATCTTCGTGGCTACCATAAATGCACCCGGGAAGAGGTCTTACAACTTGGAGCCCTGATCTATAGGGTGAAATTTGAAGATGATAAATCCTCTTTTCCTAATATTCCCAAACTCCTCAAGGACTTGGTCCCTGAACCTCTTATTCGTCAGCTGTCACCAGATGACTGGAAGAGAGTAAGTTTGCTCCAATAATTGTCCACTTCCATCTCTGTCTCTGTCTCTCTCTCTCTACCTATGTGGAGATGACCTTTCTGTAGGTGAGGGACAAGAAAGAAATCTTAGGGGCATTTGACTCCGTGGCATCCATGGGGAAGTGTCAAGAAAGTCAAGCTAGTGGGCCTTGACGGTGAGATCAAAGCCACAGACTTGACTTTTTGGAATACGCAAAGCTTTTATTACAATGACTGGTGTGGGTCTTCCAGGCTTCCACATCCCGGAAGACCCACACCAGTCATCGTATGCCAGCCGTGAAAGCCTTCGACAATACTTTTATTACAATCTTTCTAATTTTGGCAAAGATTTTGTGCATTTTCCTAATGTCTCAGCGTGCATCCTCAAAACAGCCTAACCATGCATCAAAACCAAATTTACTAGATATATAAGGCTGGTTCATATGTTCAGTCTGCTTAAAATACAGAGAAGCTCAGTGTGAGAGATTGTGATGGGAGGATCTCTAGATTTAAACAATCCACAGTTGAGAGGGCAGTTCCTTAGCGACTTACGTCATAAACAGCAGCTCAACCTCTAGGTTGCAGATGCTGAAAGTCCCAGGAGGAAGAGATTCAAAATACTGGTAGTCCTCGACTTACAACCACAATTGGGACTGGAATTTCCATTGCTAAGTGATGCAGTCATTAAGTGAGTCATGCCCGACTTTACAATCTTTTTTGCTGCAGTCGTTGAGCAAATTGACTTTGCTTGTTGGAAGCCCCTTGGAAAGGTTGCAAATGGCGATCATGTGACCTTGGGACACTACAACAGTTGTAAATACATGCCGGTTGCTAAGGACCTGAATTTTGATCATGTGACTGTGGGGATGTGAGGACCAGATGTAAGTCACATTTTTCAGCACCGTTTTAACTTCAAACGGTTGTTAAACAAATGGTCATAAGTCAAGGACTACCTGTGTTCAAAAGGACTCCACCTTAATGAACTACTAATAAAAGAGGGCTGGCAGTTCCTGTTGACATTTCTACAATTCTGTACTTTACTCCTAATCCTTGTGTTAAAATACTTATTGAAGTCTGGGTGATTCTTGCTTCCTGGGTCACGCACTTGACACCCATGTGTCTGGAAGTAGAGCCACTGGTTTTCAGAGGGGTGTGGTGGACCACACCAGTGCAAAAGCTGCGTCTTTCTTAAGAACCAGAAGAGATGGGAAGGGCTTGTTTTACCGCAGGCCGCTGACCCCAAAGCAAAACAAAAAACACTCTGAACAGTCACTTTTAGCTTTCTTATACTCTTCTCCACATTGCGTATTTGGCAGGGATAAAAAGGGTGTGCAGAACCAGCCCTTTGAACGATCCCGGTTGGAGAACTTCGAAAGGTACAGGGGAAAGAAAGCCATTCTCCGGCGTGACTCTCACACGAGCCGTTCGCTCGGCTCTGCTCTGCTCTCTCTCTCTCTTGCAGTCCATCGTGGCCTATTTCAATAAGCACGCGGGCAAGACGAGGGAAGAGGCCCAGCTGGCCTTCCTCAAGATCGTGTTCCGGTGGCCCACGTTCGGGTCGGCTTTCTTCGAAGTGAAGGTGGGCCTGCGCCCCGCTTGGATTGCACGCGAGGAGTGGGGAGGGAGCAAGGCCGGCCTTGCCGTTTGGTCTTTGAGGGAAATGACCACCTTGACCAACACACGCTGGGCCTCCGAGCAGGAAATATCCCTCTCTGCTTTGTTGTTGTGTGTGTTGCCCATAAACAACAGGCGGATGTTCAGTCACACCACCCTGGCTGTCCTCTCGACTTTTTTGACTGTATCCTGCAAACACCCCTGCAACCCATCATTTGTTCTCCTAGGGGTGGCCATGTAAAAGTAACCGGTAATAAACTATGCCACTCCCTGCCTGTGAAAGGATCTGAAATGAAGGTCCTTGAGCGAGGTCCTGAGGATGGGTAGGGTTAGGGCCACAACAGAAATAGCAGCTAGATAGATAACACTTGGGCTGATCTCCTATAGCGTCCACAGTCGTGGGTATCATGTAACTAAAGTATGTTCCTGACACCGAGATGCTGACAAGGGTGAAACGGCTGTGGGCATCTTCCATAGAGCTGTTTTAGGAAAATAATGCCCACAGATTTGCATTTCATGTTCTCAATTCTCTAACATACCTCCACCTTCCTTTATGAACAGCAAACGACTGACCCAAATTATCCAGAACTCCTCCTGGTCGCCATCAATAAGCACGGTGTCAGCCTCATTGATCGTAAAACCAAGGTAAGGTGGATCTTCTCAGTAGGCTGCTGTATGGGGAATGCACTGTAGGCCTCAGCAGGGTGTTGCCCAGCATAGCTCAACAGACAAGAGGAAGGGAGCTTTAGATAGTCCGAAAAAGTCCACCACCTCTTTTCAACAAGGGACAAATGGATGACCTCAGTCCCTGGGCCCCTTGTAAAACTTGGTCAAGGACAAAGAACCCTTGCATCATAAAAGCATTGCCTGGAAGTCTTCCAAGTCCAGTAGGTTGCTACAGTAGGTTGGAAGGACTGAAGGCAGAGTTGTGATGGGTTTCCCAAAGCCCTTTCCATGTCCCCAGGACATCCTAATACCCTTTCCATGTCCCCAGGACATCCTCATCACCCATCCCTTCACGAAGATCTCCAACTGGAGCAGCGGCAACACTTACTTCCACATCACCATCGGGAATCTGGTGCGGGGGAGCAAGCTACTCTGTGAGACGTCATTGGTAAGAAGAAAACGTAGCCAGGCAGACAGATGGCTGATGAGAAGCAGTGAAGGAAATGGCTGGCTCTCTCACACACAAATATTTACTTGCATGAGCAAATGCTATGTAAGGCTGGAGTAGGAAGTGTCCTCCATGTGCTGTGCACAAGAGATGGAACCACGCCTGGTTTTTAAAATGGGCAATCTTTCTTGGCCAATTTTGGAGCAGTGACAGACAGTGACATTTAGAGAGTGGTCATTAGCAAATTAGTAGTTAAACACAGATCTCCTTGTCCTGATGAATTGTTTAATATGTGTACCATAATAAGAAGTCTTGGTCTCTATTTAAGCCTTGAGAAATACAGGTAGTCCTTGTTTAGTGACCACAATTGGGACTGGTAGCTTGGTCATTAAGCAAAGTGGTTGCTAAGTGAAACCGCCACTGTGCTTATGATCTTCCTTCAGCTTTCCTTTGCTTTACAGACCTGCAAAAGCTGTAAATGCAAGGCTTGGTCGTAAAGTTACTTTTTCATCACTGTTGCAACTGTGAACAGTCACTGTCTGAGGCAGTCACTAAATAAGGACTATCTTACAGGTAGATGTTTTAATGGATCCTAGCTCAACTGTTTCTGGATGAAATTAGTCTTTCTTTTTCTTAAGGGTAGCTATGCCTTTTAATATCCCCCTTCTTCCCCCCACCAGTTGCTCTGTGTCTGTGTGTGTGTGTAATCCTCTTTCCTCAGGCTGTACTCCATGCATCTGTTGAAGTGGACTGTGATTCACAGAATGCATGTGATATTACATTCATTAATCTTTAAGAGCTAAAAGACATTGTGCTAATTTTGTGGCTGGTGGGTGTGATTTGCCAAAAGATCTGGGCTGATCCATCCACCGGTCTGCATCATCAAGACTGTTAAGCCATGAAGAGTCATGAATCTCTCCCATCCCCTTTTCAAATCAGCAACCTTGGCAATCGCAAACTGATGGCAACAAAATCCCATAGTTTCACTTTGTGTAAAGACACCCTAGGAAGCTTCAAATACAAGGATCTCTTTGTCAGCAAGAGGTTTCATTACGATGTTGAGAATCTTATTAAGATTTTGAGAACCGCACCCCACTTTCTTCTCATTGTACCCTGTGTTAATGGATAGTTGTTGGGGGTTTTTTTTCTTTCTATTTTTTGAAGTCTATAGCCTAGAAAATAACAGCAAGGGTGGAAAGTCAGTATTCTGAACTAATAAACCCAATATTCTAAACCTCAGTTTTCAGAATCTTCAGTATTAGAAGTGAGGGATCCATTCAAGGCGGTCCTTGAAAGCATGGATGCATCCCTCACTTCTAATACTGTGCCAGTGGGAGGTGCGCCGTGTGTGTGTCCCAGTTCAGCTATCACAATTGCAACTGTTTTTTTTTTAAAAAAAAAGCATTGAAAAGCTGGAAATGCCTTGGTTGTTATGAGGATGTGAGTGCCAAGAAGGATTGTGGGATGGAGGTGATACAGTTGGTGAATAGAGCCCATTTTCTCCCACTCTCCTTTTTTCTGCCAGGGCTATAAGATGGACGATCTGTTGACCTCTTACATTAGCCAAATGCTGACGGCAATGAGTAAGCAGAGGGGTGCAAAAGGTAGCAAGTGAACTGAGAACATCTACTGGTCGGCACTCTGTCAGCTAAGGGCCGTGGGCTACCCTTGCAGCTGGGGGAAAACCTTTTCTACACACGTGTGGAAGATGAGTCGGACACCTTCAGAAAACCTGTCAGATGCTGAAGACTGTGAGCTCACCTCCACTTCGAGCGAGGATGACTACTTGTGAGAAAAACCTTTCGCTGTCTCCCACCAGCACTGTTTTTTGCTCTCGCTTCTGGATATCAACCCATACTTCTTTTTCCGACTGTGGTACAAGGGGGGAAGAAATCTGCTTTTATGGCATATGGAGAAGGTCATCAGACTTCTGGTTAGGATCTTTTGAAAATGGGATTCAATAAAGCAGTTTATGAACCCAAGACTATGTTAGAAATGGGAGAATTTCATAAGAATCTACTGCCGTTTGCTTTGTTCTTGAGGGAAGAAACCAAGTAATCGTTTAAAGAGTGGTTGTTCTGAAAATAAAGCATCCGAAAAACAGAAAAACAGATGTTTTGCAATGAAAAAGAAGTAAGGACAACGCTGATTGAACAAGATATAAGTGGAGAACTGAGACTTTGAATGTGCAATAGCTGAACTTATTTAAGAGGATTTGGGTGTTTTTCTTTCTCCTATTTATCATGGCAAGATGACTTTTCAGAGTTGGTATAGGTTGTGACCCCTTTGGATCAGCTTTCTGATAGATCTGCCTCCTTCTTGAAGATATTAGGTTAAAAAAACCTGATATTGGGGAGTGGGGAATGAAGGATGGGTAATTTTCATAAAACGGTTTTTGACATTGCGTCGGGAAACATGAATTGAGGAATGACACTGAAAGCACATTGCTAAAAATTCTTGTTTCCAGGTCTAGGATTGACCTGACAAATCTTTCTGGACTGAACATTAAAATTAAATTAGAATACAGTTCACTCATTCTTGAAGCAGGTGCTCCTCTCTCATGTTCAAATGAATTATGACTGGAGGAGGAATTCAACTGAAATTCTTCTAATTTGAATTTGCAATAAATAAATAAATAAATTTGTCCGATTTGAATTTCCAGATCTGCTGATGTTGTGAGTGTTAGGAGGTCAGAGGATGAGACATACAAATTATTGTAACACATAGTACGTTCACCTTATAATTGATCAACAAGCTTTAAAATGGGGTGGGGGGTAGCAACTTTGGCTTCAAAAAGTGAAACTTCTTTAAAAGAGACATTTTAAAAGGAAAAAATATCAATGAAAAAGTCAGTTTAACCATGTTACAGGCAGGGGTACAGGACGGTATCACAGAGAAGACACATAGATTTGCCATTTGTGATTAACAGCCATCCGCAGGGGAGTCAAAAAAATCAAGATGGTGCCTGCGACCACGTGATCAAAGCCCCACCTCCCTTTTTTCTGTGTGTCACATGGCATCTTAAAGTTGTCAGGTTTGAAAAACACTGATGTCATGCTTAAGGGAATTCCTTGGAATCAGATGGTGCCAAACCTAGGGTTTTGTTTTTTTTAAATTTCTCCAACCCACATTTTGTAAAGGGACTGAGAACTCTGCCTGCCTGTCCGTCAGCAGGATAGCTCTCAGAAACGTGAACGGAACTGCACCAAATGGGATGTGGAGAGAAAAATCGGGAACAGAATCATCACATTTGAAAATGGGCTGGATCCAGTGGGGGGGAAGTGGAGAAAAAAATGCAGGGAAAAAACATCCCTCGGAGACGGACAGTGTCTCAAGGCGCTGCCATTGAAAGCAGCTACTTCCTAGTCACATGACCCAGAGTGTTGCTGCTATTAAGAGATTGGAAATTGTGCCAGAAGCCTTGACTTGCATGCCTGCCGCGCATTGTTATTCCACCCCAAAGGAATGTACGTACAGTTCTCGGAATCTCTCTGTGTTGCATCACCATCACCAGTGCAGCGGGTAGTTTATTTCATGGGTAGAGATTCTCTTTTTCCAAATATGTTAAAATCAAATATTTAAAAGCAATATTTTTTGAACAGTGGGTGGGAGAGAATCCCTTTCTGCGGATCCTTTTTGGCAACCTTCTTTACTTGTAGGCCCCCTAGTCTAAGGGGGAGCATGACCTTCAACCTGGTACAGTGGGCACTTCTCCCAGGTTGCTAGCAGGAGTCACACTCTAATTTAGAAGCTGAACACTTTTCATTTCCACTGGACTTTAAAGACAAAGCCCATCTTACTGGTGCACGAAGACAGAATATATCCTGATAAAAGCCACCTGCGTTTGTGTCATAGAAAACACAAGTTTACTTCTTTATTAGCAAAAAAAGAAAATAAGAGATCAAAATAGTGGTTTTTCCCCCTATTTTCTGCTTCAAGAGACCATGAAAATAAAAGCATTGTCCAGTTTCATTATGCAGCATGCTATGTTCACCTTAATTTATGGCTTCCAGGAAGGACAAGCGACCTGTGAAAGAATCTCCCATCTTAATGGCAAGGTGATTCTCTACGAAAGAGATGATGTGTCCATCATGTGTCCACCATCGGCATCTTCTGCAGTTCTGAAAATATACAAGGATGTGAGTGAAGCAGGGGCATCACTCCGGGCCAAGCTACTTAAAGAAAGCGCCATCCAATCTAGAAATAAGCAAATATATTTCATTATATAGAATGTTTCCAGCCATAACTTTCCACTCCCAATCACTACCATTAAGGGACCAGTTCAGAAGAGAAGAAAAAAACTACTTACGCGTTGTCTGGGGAACCCATATCCATTTGGTTGTCTCGGGGGGGGGGTGTCAAAAGAGTCAAGATGGCAGCTGGGGCCATGTGATCAAAACCCAGTGCCTTGTTTAGGTGTGTTGTGTGAGATTGGAACCTTTCACTTTGTATTTAAGAAGCACCTTTCTCTAAGCTTACCAAATCTGGTGCCACCCTCCTTGGTTGGCCACTGGCTCCGCTTCTTTCATATGAGCCTTGCGTGAGCCACAAAGACTTTTGTCCTTAACAATCCTTTCTAAGTTCTAAGGTCTGTCCTGGACCATGGAGTCACCTCCAGCAGGTGGTCTAGCTCTAATGAACAGTTCCCATCATTGGGAACTCATGACAAATTATGATGGGACTCTGGTCTGCCACCAGAGCCAACGGTGTCACATTTCCTTGGTAGAAGTAAGTCTTCATGGAGATGCATGACATGACACAGATTTCCACGCTACATCTCAGAATCATCACCATCATCATCATTATTAAATAAATAATTATGCATTATTAATAAATTATTATTAATAAATT